GTCTACTGCACACTTGTCGTCTACCACGTGTGTTTCTACACGTCATATGCGGTCTACTACTGCGTATCTATATTTTATTTTTTTGGTCATTATTTTGGTTTTAAATTTCGAATTATTAAAAAAATGCATGGTACATCTCCATCATTGCTACCCTCGTATTTGGCGGAACAATGGTGGCGTCTAAAAAAAGAATGACAACGCATTTGATTGTTTTTTAAGATATGTGAAATTATATTGTACCTAATTTAAATTGGTTAATGTATATCTCTATATACTCGCAATTTTACCTTTTTTGTCAGTTGTTTTTAATACATATACTAATTAAATTTACCTACATATTATAATGAATTAATGCATATTTTTATATATATTTACATTTTTTGTCAGTTAGTTTTTAAACATATACTAATTAAATTTATCTACATAGTTTTATATACTTTTTTGTTTTATTAAATATTATATTGAAATTCTACATAATAAATATATTGTAATCCTACATTTATGTATTCCTTCATATTTTTAACCATGTGGTAGACCGCATGCGTGGTAGACGATAAATGTGTGGTAGACCGCATACAACATGAATACCAACAATTATATTTTTATTTTTAATTAATATTATATAGTTATATGTYGGATCTACTGGGAAAAAATTCAGTAATCAACCATATATGTATTTCGCCYTGAGTGATTATGTTACAGTTCAGTGGCTGAGTGACATGTTAAAGAGACAAGGAGGGGAAAGTCAACTGGGCTTAACCCTTCCATAATAACCTCTTCACAAAAATATTAAATCCTAACAATACTCCAAAATTGTATACARATTACTGTYGTTATTATATTATAATATATAGTTAGCTATTGCAAGCTGTCTTAACATAAATATACTAATAAAGCAGATTATTTTACATTCTAGGCTTTTTTTATTTGTTTAAATCAAAAATTTAACTGTCACAGCAAGTAGGTAATCAATATTTTTAAGTATCATACTGATTCCATTAATTCCAAAATATATCCAAATACACAGGGTTGGGAATATAGACGCAAATGAGTTTGAGACTTGAGAAGGGGGAGCTAGACAATAGAGGACTTATCCACCTCAGCTCTTGCTACTTTTGCACATGTTTGAGTACTAATGACTAATTAGTTACAAGTATATAAGTTACATAACCAGTAACCACATAAGGTATATTTGTATCTTGGGTACCTTTAACTTATAATTAGTTACCTATACGTAATATTCAACTATTCAAGCAATATTAAATGTACCTATTATAATTATAATTTTTATGTAACTTTAAATAAAAGATACAAATGGATTAGAATTAAATAAAAATATAATATGTATATAGGTATCTAAATTATTATAAAGTTGCATTTAAATAGAACCATATTAATATCACTTTTGTTGTGATTTTGAATGAGTCAATTAATAGGTCATGTTAGGCATATATTAGTGGTATTACACATTATGTCATATTGTTTAAATATTTTGTGACTAATGTTTTGATAAATTTCAATGTTAATATTCTTTTAAATAATAATAATAATTTATAACCTACCTATGTAATACATTTTCTCAAGAGCTTCATACCTACAACTAGTA